AGAAGAAGAAGAAGAAGAAGAAGAAGAAGAAGAAGAAGAAGAAGAAGAAGAAGCGCCCCCCAACCACCTGCTAAAACGAAAGAAGCAGTAAACAGTGAGAAGACAGGCGACCCACCTTTGGGACAGTCGGCCATGGATATGACGATGCGAGGGACGCGACTGTCTGTCGGGGCAAACAGCGCCAGGTTCCTGTTCCCGGGCATCAGTCTGACGTGCCCGCTGGCCGCCCGCGAGTGTTTCCTCTCGTAGATGTACACCACCTGGGGACGAGGGGGACGAAACAGCGGGTGGTTGGCGGGTGCTCTGGTGTGGTGTTTGTGTCTTCTTTTCTATCAAACATCTACCGTCCTTATCTCTCCTCTTTCTTTCTTGTTTCTGTTACTCTCTTGTAACACTTCTAATTTTAAATATTCAGCACTTACATGACCTTATTGTGTTGCAGGTGCTGTAAGTCTTTAACTAAAACTAAAAAGACAAAATTGAAACCCTCATAAATTCACAACCTCGTTTTCTGAAAAATTTGTTAAAAGTAAGCGTCGATAAGAATTTTACCATACTTGCGACATAATTAAGGCATACAAGTGTCATCAGTTGGACATGGCCCCTGGCTTTTGCGCGCAAGTATTTCCACTCATAGATATACACCAATTGGGACAAAGAGGCAAAATTTGAACACTCATACACTCATAACTTTGCTTTGGGCTGGGGGGAGGGGGGGGGTTCAGTTTTAGTACGTCTTATTGCGCTTGCAACACAATTAAGTCACATAAGTGCCAAAAGATTAGAGGCGTTAAATGGGAGTAACAATCAAAGAAAAGGAGGGAGAGATGAGGACAACCGACACTTGACAGGAAAGAAGGAAGGAGGAGGAGAGATGAGGACAACCGACACTTGACAGGAAAGAAGGAAGGAGGAGGAGAGATGGGGAGAGAACAGACACTTGACAGGAAAGAAGGAGGGAGGAGGAGAGATGGGGACAACAGACACTTGACAGGAAAGAAGGAGGGAGGAGGAGAGATGGGGACAACAGACACTTGACAGGAAAGAAGGAGGGAGGAGGAGAGATGGGGACAACAGACACTTGACAGGAAAGAAGGACCCTCTGTGGAGAGTCTCCTCTCGTAGAAAGACATTACCCGGGGCTTTTTGGACAAAATTACAACATTCATTTTAGTTTTAGATTTAGTAGAGATTTTACAGCGCTCGCAACTACATAAGGTCAAATGAGCGCCAAGGGGTGGATGTCAACAGAGAAGTCCTTACAGGGAATCAGACTTACTCTGCTCACCTCTCTAGTCTCAACAGCACAAAGTCTGCTTCGACTATCAAGGCACCCCGGAAATAG